TAAACGAGTATAGAAAACTCATGATTGCATACTAATAATAATGTCGATTTTAGCCAGCTAAAATACTAAAAAATGAGTCCTCTATCCATGATATTGCTTTCTCTAGTGAAAAAATGGTCTCATCTGATCCAGGAGAGAAATATACAATTGAAAAACTGTTCAAAACTAAACAAATATGCTGATGGATTTTGATGTGAGAGGACAACAGGGGATGGACTTTTCCACTGGAGGAAATGTATAGACTCGTACTTTGGCCAGAAGTGACGGTTTAAAGTTTTGTTTTTATTTCTTACAAACACACAGCTTTTCACTTCACAAGATGTTATTTGATGGACTGGAGTCGTGTGAATTACTTGTGGATTATTGTGATGCTTTTATCAGCCGTTTAGACCGTTTAGACGGCACCCATTCACTGCAGAGGATTTATTGGTGAACAAGTGATGTAATGCTAAATTTATCCAAATCTGTTCCGATGAAGAAATCGGAAAATCATCTACATCTTGACCTAAGCTGTCATTTTTGGGTGAAATATTTGTTTAAGATTAAGTTAATAGGTAAATTGCCTGTTCTGGAGTTTTTCAGTCTGTGGAAATTTAGGCATGTTAAGCTGAATTGCGCAGTATTTGTTAACTGGAAGGAGCTTTGTAGTCTTCTTTCACTGAGTTCAAGGTCTCAGTGATATGTGTAGCATGAGGGATGGGTCTCTCTCTCTCTCTCAGGTCATTAAGTTCAATGTATAGCTGAGGATGGGGCCTCAGCTCTAAGCAGCTGAAGTGGTTTGCTTTCCATGAAGTCATGTTTGCATTTTAGTCTAACCAGTGAAAATGTATGACGTGCCTCTTCTGCTCCTCCTTCAGTTGCTTTGGGGACATAAACAATGTTTTTCACAATTGTTATTTTTTCACTCCAAAGTCTTTTATTTAGAGTGGACGTTTGAAATATTTCTTATTTTTAGACATAATTATTGTGCCCAAAGCTGTGTTTGTTTTATTGGTATAATTGTGCATGTTAAACTGTGTACAGAAAAAGATCCAAAAGCTGTATAGCCATGTGACATTCTGCCACAGATTCAACAATATTCTTGTATGTAAACTATGCAGGGGGATGGGCTGCTGGGTTAGTGAGTTCACACAGTATAGTTTTGAATGGAAACTCTCCTTCATGCAAAAATACTGTTAAATACTGTGCAATAAAGAAAATATACATGTGTTAAAAGGAAAATCTTAATTGAACTAACAATGAACAACTGTATTTGTATTAACTAATGTAAACAAAGATGAATACATACTGTAATAAATGTTCATTGTTTGTTAATGTTAGTTAACTCATTAAATGGTACCTTATTGTAAAATGTTACCAAATTTTTTATTTGTGAACTGATGTTCAGCTGTTCTTTTTAATAGTTAACTTATTTTCGGGTCATCGTCATAAAAGCTCTGTAAACACTGCAACAGACACGAAGATATATCTTTAATTTCATCAAACTGACGCAGTCATCACGTTTTCAGACCATTTCAAGTTTTATTTTGACGTGACACAAAGTAGTGGTATCTAATGTTGAGTTCACACTGCACGATTTTCAAAGATGTCGCATCACTGTTGGTTTCACACTGAACGACTATCTGGGGTAGCATTCAGTTGTTGCTGTGTTCACACTGCATGATGGAACGACGACAGGAGGTTACACACTGCATCCACCGGGGATAAAAATGATTCAGCAGAGGCAGGGATGCATAGACCAGAGGGGGGGAAATCCCCTCTGTAATATAATAAATGTGAAACAATATAATAAATGTGAAACAAAAACATTCAAAATATTAATTAAACCTGTAATATTACAATAACACTGGTCAATGTCATCAAAAAACTGTCTATGTTTGACTTGACTTGAAATTAGTTTGTCCCTCCTGCTGTGTACTGTGTCATATCAGCCTCCCACAGAGTCTGGGATTGTCCAGTCGATATTTGTTGTCCTTGGTGTTAGCGCCAATACATGGTGATGCTCATGGTGTGAATGGGGTCAAGCTGATCTCGAGAAAGTAGAGCATGGATAACGTGTGACCTATGTTGTGTACATTAACTGTTGACCTACAGGTGGGCAACAACAGGGCAACTGGAGGAAGTTGGTGTCGGTGACCTTCAATGGCTGACACTGTTTAAAGATTGACCAGGGGCCTGTTCTTCGTACGTCGCTTATTACATCTCAGATGATTTGAAAGATTCCAGATCTTCTAATCCAGTGTTTCTCAACTGGGGGTACGCGTACCCCAAGTGGTCCGTCACATAATTGCAGGGGGTCCGTAGAATCATTACAAAAATGTTTTTTTAATTATTATTATAACCATGAACTGATATATACAGTACATGCATGTATATACATGCATGTTTTTTTAAATATATCTGTTCTAGATTCAATGTAAACACTATGCTTTGGCAATACATTGTAACAATTGTCATGCCAATAAAGCACAAATTGAATTAAATTGAGAGAGAGAGAGAGAGAGACAGATAGGTGACAGCTTCAGCAGAACTAAGGGTGTGTGAATACCTGGGTCTGTCTTTCTTCAGGTCAACTCATATAATCATGAAAAAAACAGTTTGCCATCAGTTGCGAGAAGATGAAAGCGATATCTGTGTCGTTGTATCCTTTCAGTATTTAAGGGGATTTCCCACGACTGTCATCAGCGCTGTTCAGTACACTGAATCAATGGCATTGTTCTCTAGTGAAATATCAGCTTCACTGTAACCCATGTGATGCGTTGATTGTTGACTGAGCCTTGTAAACTGGCACTCAAAGTAAATTAATGTGAACACCTTGTTTCATTCATGAATGAATCACCATTTTTAAGTGTATCCCTTGAATGAATGTTTTTTTAATGATGACTCACTCGTAAAGTCAATCCATTGCTGCCACCTGCTGGTGTAACAATGCCTGACAGCCCAGCGCTGATACTGAAACATCACTATATAGTCAGTGGCATAAAATGGTCATAAAATGACAATAATATTGTTTCTCACAATTATTTCTAGGGCAATATATCGCAATATTAAAAAAAATAGTTAACAAGACCAGCCTATGGACAGGTGGCTTGATAGGCCATCTATCAGTGGACCGGACACCAGAAGAGCTAAGAAAAATGGACAACACAAAAACACTCAATATCAATGGGGGGGGCGGGGATCCATGAGGTTGGTTTGAGATATTATGGGGTTCCAGTACTCAAAAAAGGTTGAGAACCACTGTTCTAATCATGATAGCTGATCTCTGGCTAATTTGGTTCTTCAAACGAATTTGCAGATTTGATTAAAATATCTGGATTAAGTTGTCTAAGATTACTGCGCGTTCTCGTGTTCCCCGAAAAGGGCAACAATGGGGGAAGGAGTCAGTTGACGGAACGGTCACTGGGATTGTCTTGCAAATCCTTGTTAAAACTGTAAGAAAGATTTGGAAGCATCAGCTACAATAGTTATAAAACAATAAATAAAACATGAATGTCAAAAAGATGTAATCTAATCCTTTTTTACATGAAATAAGCTGCTCCCGAGCAGGTTTAATCTTACGGACCTGTTGCTATGACAACTCCGGGATGAGCTTCGAAGAACCAAATGATCCAAGATCAAGCCAAATCGTCAACAATCAAATCCAGCTAACTGAGTTAACAACGTACGAAGAACGGGCCCCAAGTGTATTTGAGAATACAAACTTTCAAAAAAAAAAAAGTGTGGATGCTGTCCAAGACACATTTTTTCCCTAAATGAAACAGATGTAGAAAACAGAATAAAAAATTAGGGTTAAAGGTTCTATTTACAGTCATTTTAGCATTTAATAGTATGGGAATAAATATTCTGTACAATCAAGCTGTAATTTAGATTTAAATTGGGTGCAGAATTCATCAACTATACTGCACTTACTTGAATGTTGTTGGATCATTATTAATTGATCTGCCCTGAAGGGCTCATATTTACTTTTGACAGTGTCCTTTTGATAATAATAACCATGAAACAAGCCAAAGTAAATGTATCATTATGGACAATATTGCCTGATCATTTTGCTGACCACAGGGAGCAGACTCACAAGCTCATTTGTTTTGAGTGAGACTGAGTCAATAGCACTTGTTGTCCTGAGCTGACCTTCTCTCTTTTTTTATTTATTTTTTGCCAGAAACTAACAATTATAGTTCTGCTATCAAATAGGAAAGGAAAGATTCATTTGATAGTAGTGATCATAAAATGTTAACAAGGGCAGTGTGTGGATTATCCAATGACTTTCAGGGAGGCAGTTTTTTTAAATCAAATTTTCAATTCATTTTAGTATTAGTTATTTTAGTAAATTAAATTAAACTAAATGAAAATGAGAAATAGCCTATTGCTGAAATTAAAGGCTACATTTACATTTGGTATATATTTGTAAAATGTTATTCAATTTACTGTTTATTTTGTTTCAAATGACATTATTATTATTATTATTATTATTTTATTTTTTATGGTTTTAGTTTTAATTTGTATTTTAGTAACCCTGTGTGACACGTCTGGAATGGCTAGGGTAAACATCAGTATCATATTCTAAATATAATTTTCTTTTAAGATGCACCAATTTTAGTACATTTATGACGCGTACATTTATAATAAATTGATAAATCATGACAGTAGGCTATTAAAGAGCAGCATACTGTTGCTGTGGTTACTTCTAAAACCATTTTTAAATCAATTTGAAGGTCATCTAAAATAAATCACTGAAAACAAATGTATTATGTTCCAAACAAATTGTCGGGTACAAACTCTTCCTAATGTGGAACAATAAGCACCATCTGTAAAATGTGTTCCAATTCGTAGTAGCTGCCTCTACGCACGAGTGCCACGTGCGACGGTGGGGGGGGTGCAAATAGATGAATCCGACCAATCACGGCTCAGACGCTTAGGGATTGGATCTACTTTTCGTCCAATCAGCGACTCGATTCTCATCTGTCAGCCAATGGGAACGCAGTCTGCGTTGGCTTTTGTCCAGCACGTGTATCAATTCACATGTTGTCCCTCGCTGTAAAGTGACGTTAGTGGAGAAAGGAAGAGGATAGAAGTCCATAATTTTTTCTCAGGACAATAGTGCGTACGTCTGCACACGGGCTTATTAAGCAACAAAGTATATGAAACTACTTTTTCGCGTACGAGCAGCACGTCAGGTTGTGTCATTGGCGCTGGACACCAGGTTGTTGTGATACCGACCTAGAAACAAACCACCATTAAGGTAAGGGTAAGTTATATTTAAAAATTATTTAAAATATTTCCGTTATACTTCAGAAATGCTTCACGTGTTGATCATTGCGCTTGATGTTTGTTTACGTCACGTGGAGCTGAATTATTCCTCTGTTTTGTCAGTCTGCTGTTAAATATCTGTGATGCCATAATTGATAAATTATAATTTTTATTAATTATAAAAATGTATCATTTAATTAATCATAAAATTGATTTAAAAAGTAGGAAATTAAGTTTTTATTACAATCTAACACTAGTGAATATGTGGAGTTCATCAGTATCGGTTTGTTTGTTCAGCTATTGTATTTTCCAACATGTGGTCAATGTTTTTAAATATCACTTTTTAATTACTTTTCTTTTTTATGTAGAGAATATTCATTACTGTCTATTGGTTTAACAGCTGACATGATTACATTTATGGAGGATTATGCGTCACAGCCCACATGAACCAAGAGCTTAGTAAACACGACATAAATAATAGTGCTCTTTAAATGCTTAATATTTACATTTATTCATTTATCAGACGATTTTATCCAAAATGACTGTACGTCTTTCCTTTTTTTTAACCAGTCTACCAAACAGTCCATCTGGTGAGAGTTAATTTGTCTTAATGGCACCGCCTAGCTGCTTATTTTTATGAGGCACATGCCCTTGAGAGGGTTTTCTTTAACTTGGTCAATTCTGAAATACTACACCGTGGCTGTGTCTCAAATCTAGCTGTCCATCCAAACAACATTATAGGCATTATAGGCACACTTATATATTCTATTACATTCATGTGCTTTTTCAAAACTCCTATAGGTAGTTGACTGTTTTCCCAGACACAAGCCCATATGTGGTTTTGTGCCCTTTCACCTAGTGAAAGAAACCGTGTGTGCTGTTCTTCATGGGTAGAATGATTTTTGTAATTATGGTATCTCTGTGATCTCTATTTCAGTTTTGGAATGAACCCTGTGTTCCTTTGTCCATTTTTTTAAAATCCATGGCATGCTTTGCATTCCCAATTGTTTGTTTGGTGCTTGTGCGTCTCTTGTTTCTTGTCTTTAAGAAAAGGGAAGTTTCTATACATATTTCTATGACATATTTCTCAACAATAAGGGGTTTTCTGCAAGTCCTGTCAAGCCAGTAGTTCAGCTATGTACATGTGCTGCTAACATATATAGGCCTATATGTTTGTATATATATGTATATATATATTAGGGCTGTCAGTCGATTACAATTTTTAATCTAATTAATTACACTATGTTTCGATTAATTAATCTCAAAATAAATTTGACTGTGAAAATACCCACAAAAGATTATATAAAGATATGTTTGTGTTAAATGAGAATGTATCAAGTAGACATTACAAATTGTAGCTTTCGAAAGAAATATTTTATTTGATTCAACATAAAATTTATTACGCAAACATTTTTAGGCTACAACGGCCTAACAAACTATGGAACATGAAAGAAGATAATTTGAGAAACATCTCAGTATTTTTGTTAAAGGGGTCACACAAGCTCTTGGTGGATAAAGGAGATCTGTAAAGTTGCATTGACTAAAGTCTCAAATCCAAAGAGATATTCTTTATAAAAGTTAAAGAGTCAACCATGCCTACCTAAAACGGCTCGTTCTAACACACCCCCACATGTCTACGTCACGATGTGGGAAGATTTACATAACGCCGCCCAAATGTTCGCGCAAAGAAAGAAGGCGTAACTTTGATTCTCGCTGTTGCCGCCGCCATGTTGTGGAGACGCTGTGTGTTTCGTTGTGAAAGCGAAACTACTTTGTTTGGCCTTCCAAAAGAGGACGATATCCACTTCGTCATGCCTAGAGCTGATC